TAGAGAAAGTTACATATGGGGAAAATCCCAGAACATAGAGAATAACGCACAAAAGTATATATATGTATTTTATAAGAAGAATAGGAGAAGTGATGATATGATCTAACCGAAGGTGAAGATCATAACAAAATGCTCTTTTTTTCTTTTTTCTATTTTATATTATATTTAATAATAAAAATAAAAAATAACTTTTTTAATCGAAAAGAACTACGCTTTTGTTTTACAACTGGATTCACACAAAAAATAGCCTTTTTGTCAAAGACTTTTAGTATGAGCTGGAAAAAAAAGCAGTTAGTGTTTTATTCTATTTTTTTGCATAGCGAATAGAATATCAACTAAACTAGATGTCTTACACTTGATAAAAATTCTTTATTATATTTTTCCAAACATATTGCATTATTGCTTGACATCGCACCTCGTTTAAACAAGAGTTGAGTAAGCCTTGTTGATGATTGGAAAAAATGCAGGGCAAGTCATCAAACATCTTTTATATCGACTTTTGTCCTTCATATTGTAATTTGTTTATTTACTTCAGAAATATACTTTACTTTAGCTGCTTTACACCTTCATAAACCTTATAACACGCTACACTTAGAGGCGATATCTCAGATGTTAAAGTTTTCTGGAAAGTTTTAGAACTACGCATAGGTTCTTTTCGTACTTTAAATCAGAGCATCATAGAAAATAGCTAAAATGAAGTGTTCTTAGGTATTTCGGTTCTTCTACAGATCGATCACACCCCCTACTGTGGTGTGTGTGGAGTGTGAGTGTGAGTGTGTGATCGATCTGTAGAAGTACCGGTATTTCGAACAAATTTAGAATGAGTTGTGAATTTTTCCTTTTTGCATGAAAATAGCTTAAAATGGGTTATTCCACTTAAAGTAAGTTTTCATTAGGTTTTTTAAAATTTTTAATAAAACAAGGACTGCCATGAGATTTAGCGTGCTCGATAACATAAGGTTAGGATTACTTTTGAGATTATCAGACCTAAAGAGACAGAACAGTCACAATTTCTTTTTCGAATGTGGGACGAAACGTTCTGAAAAAGGGATAAAAATGCGGGACACTTATTTTAACGAAATAACGTCATCTCGACCTAAGACAACACGATAGACCCAACTAAAGTCATATATTACAAATAAATTAAAGTCAATATTGTGGGTCTTTTAACCATTTATCGTTAAAGTTACACTACCATTCTGACAATGGAGATGAAGTTGCTGAATTTTGTTTTATTGTTGTAAATAATTTTTTGGTTGTGTTTCTCACTTTCAGAGTCTCTCATGTTCACGAACAGTCATCTCTTCTTCTAGTTCAAATATAGTTCATTTTTTCAAAGCTAATTTTTCAAATTTGACACAAAGAATTTTTCTTTCAAACGAGTTTTATCGACAAGCTCATATCACACACATCTGATCAGCTGGAAGAATAATTTTTTGTTGATGGTGAGAATCTCAAAATAATTCTATTTTCTACAAACTGTTCAAACACCTATATGATAATGATCTTTATGACAAAGAGATGCTAAAGAGGTAGTATGCCTTCAACAAATCGCCAGTGGGGAACAAAACGGTCGCATGAAGGACTGTCACGCTTAATGGGGGACATTTGAGATCCGTCGGAGATAGAATCACATATGTCACAACAAAAAGCATACCAACCAAGAACAAGTCTGTCTCTGATATCTTTAAGACAAACCTAGCGCTGACGGAAATTATGAAACAGTAATTATATGGTAGAGGATCCGTCAAATATACTACCTGAAAATCTGACTTGAAAATGCTCTCATAGATTATAAGAAACAGTAAAAACTTAACTTCCTTGTCTCTTTTGATTCAAAATTTATTTAGATAATACGAGCGAGTACTTTATTTTGAAACCCAACGTACAGTAGCCAAATTTCAAAATCATAAAGAGCATTTGACGTTCCTTGAGCATCTCATTTTAATTTAACAGATTCATTTCACATTTCTAACAGTACAATAACATAAACAGAAAAAAAAATGTATATACATGACAATGCGAGAGAAGAAGGGAAACAAAACAAAAGCATGGATCAGTAACTAACTATTCATTTGACAATCAATTGGTTTATGATTAATCCAATTTTGTCCCGATATAAATGTTTTCTTTTGAGTAAACGTCCCCGTCACATAAGGTGGCATATATCCACGAAGCTAAAGAAAAGAAAAAGATTTAACACTAGCTAACGAAACCACATATATAATTATTTCTTACTCGATCAATTCCCATATAATAAAATTCATCTGGAAAATCATCATGACCTTTAATAATTGCATTAATTCGTGGTCGATTACTTTGACTGTGTTCAGGAGTTATAATATGAATCTCACGTTTTTCCATATCAATGCCGCGAATAAAACCTAAATATATAAAAATAACAATAGTTTAGGTTTAATAACAATTATGTTTCTTCAGCCTCAGTTACCAAATCCAATCAATTCTAAATTAGCTTCTTCAGCAATTAATGCAGGCATATTATCTGCTGAACGATATAACTAAAAAGAGATAAACAAAAGCAAGTTAGCTAAAGGATTTTACTGTTGGATCGACTAATTCAAGATACTGAAAGCATCCAATAATCTACATAGAAAAGATAACTGCTAACAACAACGTTGTTATATCTTAATTTGGCTCAGAATGACTGTATGATGTAATCAGAATGTCATTTCTCCAAGGTAGATGTTCATCAAAGCCAGTACAATGACCAAAGCGAGTAGTTGATCGTGAAAGATCTTAAATCTGTATTAAAGTAGGGTTTGTAAGTAAAAAGAATATGGCCATTTCGTGTAACTCGGCCGAAAATGTGATTCCTGAACGTTTTTCGCTATTTCCTTATAGATCTTTCAAACAGACGAACGGCAGGAGCTTGTGATTGTCGCAGACTCATCGTCAAAAAATAAGATAAAATTGTCTCATTTTATGACAAAAAGTGTGCTTAACAAGGTGAGACGTATCAAAGTTCCCTAAAACTCTTGGTGATAAAGATATTGTGAAGATATTCAACACTACTCTAAAAAAAATTTCTTTTTTTGAACGATGTATGTCTCTGTTTTGTCGATATATCTTCATAACCAAGAGTCTTAGAGAACTTTGACACGTTTCATCTTGTTAAGCACACTTTTTGTCATAAAATGAGACAATTTTATCTTATTTTTTTGACGATGAGTCTGTGACAATGGCAAGCTTCTGGCGTTCGTCTGTTTGAAAGATCTATACGAAAATAGCGAAAAACGTGCAGGAATCACATTTTCGGCCAAGTCACGCTGAATAGCCGAATACTTAACAGCATTGAATCAGACACTTTTATATTTGTAATCATTGTTTCAGACGAAACACGGTCTTATTATCATCATTTTCAATACTTCAGAGATCAACAGTAGTTGCAAAACTAGTGTACACTTTTTATAACACTTTTTTACTGGTTCATCAGAGCAAATTTAAACGCAAATTCATTCTTTATTTTTCTTTTGATCCAGCATATTTTTAAAGCTATACGAAACGTGTTGTAGTTTACCATATCTTGCTTGACTTGACATAAAGCAATCATTGATGCATTAATGACATGAAATAGATACTTTGGATCAATATCTTTATGAGTGATACCAATAGCTATGTGCTGAAATGGAATTATTAATGGCGGATAATCAACTAATGGTTTGAGTATAGATGTTGTTATCGATTCTAATTTTGAAAAATAAGACCAAAAACATGTTTGACGAGATAATTTTGATTTGCTATAATGTTCTGAGACTTGTTTAGATTTTGTGTATAATAATATAGATGCAAAGTCAGTTTTCGGTTGAGTATTCGATTTGAGTGATATTTTTAATTTTCGTCGATAAAATTCAGTTGATTCTGATTCTGGTGCTGAAAACCATTGTTCGTTTATCTCCGGCATTGTATTACGATAATGTGCACTTTCACTACGTACTTGTACAATGAGATTTGGTTGAATTGTGTCAATCATTTCTTTTAATAGAATAAGACCAGCATCTAAATGTAAATTGCACGACTAAATTTAAATCTTTTCCCATATAGTATCGATTTAAACTACACTTACCACTAGCCCATCCCATTGTATTTACAAATAAAACATTTGATGTGGTCGTTTTTATATCATTTTTCCACTGAGTAAAGCAATTTTGAACACATTTCAAATATGCTTTCAGACGTTTTTCAGCTGTTATATCACCGAAATAGAGGGCATATTTTGGTTTAAGTTGATGTGATGCTGGTGGTCCGAATAGAGGTTGGGTAATTTGATGATATGATATACAACCACTTGGAGTAAATTCACTTTGGCCTATATCACAGTCCAGATATCCGATTTGAAGACGATTTATAGCCACTGAGGCAGATGCTGATTTGGACAAGCATGAATTAATCAAATAACGTAAATAGGTAGATTTACCGCTATCCTTAGCTCCACAAACGAAAATAATGTAGGAATTACGTGAATGAGATATCTCGGCAATATCAATCGCTGCTGTCAACATTTCATCGGAATAGCAAACAATATTGTGCTAGAAAAGCAACAAATATATATATCACAATATGAAAGGCTTAAAAAAATGTAGTTTTAATTTTTTTCCCATCAAAAAATATAGAGCGATAGAGATGAGCAAGTCAGGCCATCTCTGTACACTAGTTAGCTATAAATCTTAAAATACCACTTATCGGCTCAGAAATACACAGTAGTAATCACTGCTTTTCATATCTCCAAGGTAAAAATCTTCATCATAGCCGATATATCATGCAAGATGCAGAATCTATCAAAGTGTATAAATAACAGTTTGTGGCAAATATTTAGCGATATAGAGTTCTTTTTTGCAATATACACTCTCAATTATTCTGATGCTGTTCCATCATGTTGCGCAACGTCAATGTTTCGTCGTGTGCTGGTGTAGTCCAAATATCTACCATTCCCTTTAGGTCAAATGCATAGTGACAAGGGCGTAATATGCAGAAAATCATGTTTCACATGGGTTTCTTCGGCGTTGACTGAGATCGTTTATCTCTTTCGCATATCGAACTACAAAATCTTTCAGTTGAAATCTGTCCGACTTGTAAGTCATGTAAAAAAATATCCGAGTAAAAATACAGTTATTCTTTCTTAACAGGAAAAGAATCGTGACTTAATGCAAAAGTAATTTACATGCGTAGAACTTTACGTCATAAGAGATACGTCATAAGAAGAAAGAGACGCGTAAAAGATAATGCCAACAAATTCGGTCAAACAAATCTTTATTAAATCTCATATTTTACATTAAATCAGAATAAGAGCTAACGTCTAATCGATTTCAGACGATACATGGTCTAACCTATTATTAGCTTCAATGCTGAAGTATGTGTGAAAATTTTTGGAAACAACGTTGACATTCTTACATTATTAAATAAAGTACAACGCTTTCACCCCTCAAAAACGGTGAAGTGATTATTCTAATCTTACTTGATTATTTCTGTAACAGCCACATTGTGGCCATATAGGATAGAAATCCTTTTTATTTGATAAATATTGTTGATCAAATATCCATGATTTTAATAAATGACTATTTTCTTCGATTGTCGCTGACCATGTTGTTTGTAGCTTTTTTACATGATAGATGGATACATTCGACATTAAACTAATTTTATCATAATAGAACATTAGATCAGTTGAATAATTAATTAAGAACTGGTTTAGTATTTCTTCAACATGTTCGATTAATGTCCGTTGTTGATTTGAAATAGTTTGTCGTTTTGTATTTGTTTCAACTGTCATAAGTGATTGTGAACTAATATTGTAGATATCATAACGTTGACCTATTTGTAGTGCATAACCGTGAATCATCGATAATGGGCCATATAGTTGTGTTATAGAAAATAGACCGACCAGAGATAAACGAATATCCTCAGGACAGAATATGATTCCATTAGATTGTTCATCGGTAAAACATATGCTGAAAGACAAATAAAAGCGGATTATAATAAGATTTTAGATCGTGTTATTAGTAAAGAAGGGAGTCTCACCTGTACGTGTTGGGTTCTTGATTCTCAATATCTGTGTTTGGCGAAGATAATCCATTTGGAACAATAAACATCGATATTTGGTAACGAGTAATTGTTTCAGTTTCTTCTTCCTCATTATCTTCCATTAACATCTCCCCATCTGAAAATATTTCATTTGATGTATTTGCATTATTATCATCAATTTGTGCTTCTTCTTGTTTATTTTGTTCTTGCCTTATTTTAAACAAGCGACTTGTTGTTATTTGTGGTGACGATTGTTGTTGTACGATTTCTTCATCGATCTCATCGTCGTGTTCATTATTTATAATATCAGAAGATAACGAATCACGAACAACTCTACGTTTCTTACGTCTTTTTGATTTTTTAAAATGACTTCTTCTGTTATTATTTACTTTTCCCGTTTGTATATGTATCGGTATTCTAATATTATCACTTTCATTATCTGTGTTATCATCACCGTGTATTGGTTCTTTGATATTTAATATTTCACGAACAATAAATCGACCAGCTGCACTATCTATAGTAGCATATTTATGAGGATACATCACATGCTAAAGGAAAAAACAAAGACAAAAAAGTATGCAGAAAAACATAGATATTTCTGAACGAAAAGATAACTCAAACTTCTATAAAAAGTGCTTAAAATTATCTTTTACTGAATACCTAAACATATTGTTTCAGAGCTAATAGTAACAAGCACGTCAATTCTGTAAAACTCCATTTTGAAACCTGTTTTCTTCTTCAATAATTTAGATGTAACCATAAAGAACGCGAAAGAAAACACATCGAGAAATGTCGTTGCCTAATTATTTATTTGTAGTTTTTCTTTCAATAGTAACCTCATATATAGAAAAATAAATACACAGTTAGTGTCTGAATAGAAATAAAATACACAACAAAGAGAACAATTGAGCTAAGAGAGAAAGAGATACTGTTTTATAATTATAAGTAACAACCACATAAACACCAAGCGTCTTTTCAGAAACGAACAGAAAAAAGACGACTTCTGTTGTTGACTAAAGGAACGATGAAATCATTGTTGTTGTTTCATCGATGAGTAAGTAGTACACGATCAAATGATACTGAGCCAATATTTCCTCCTCGCATCGATTGAGCTACATTTTGTTCAAATGTACGTTTATTATTCTTTAACACTTCAGCAGCTTCTTTATTCAATGGATCATCAGCATTCGGTTCCTAAAAATTAAAAAGATCAGTCAGCATCGAGCTAAGTATATTTTGTTTGTTCTCAAATTTTAAAATTGTTTTGAGAGATCTCTCGTTTTGACTGACTTTATGCTGCTGAACAATAGAAATTACACTTAATTTACAGTCACTATTCTCAACTGCTAGTAACTACAGTCTCGTTTGAAATACGCAGTGAACATGACACTTCTCTCTGATAAAGAAAAGTTATAACTCAAAAAGTAGTTGTGGACTAGATCTACTTACAACAAATAGAAATATGAGTCCATAAATAACGGCGTTGATCGTTAATACTGGCTTCCAGTCTTCTCTAAAAGAACGTCAATAATAAATTAGGTGGGATATAAAAAGGCCAAAAAGTTCTCGTGCTTGTGTTCTATCATGTTACTGTTTTTTAGCGAGAAAAAAATGTCTTACGGCGTATTTCTTTTCTTCGAGAACAGATGTTATACTCGCTTTCTTATTGGCTAAATTCGCAATAATAACGTGTATATTTATACTCAATTGACGACATTATTACCTCAAAATATTTAAACAAACATTTCCTTCTAAATCAATGTTTGGATGATAAATCTTTTGTGTACATTTGACTTTTGGTGGAGAATGTGGATATTCTGTTGGAACTTTAAATAAAAATTTAAATTGTCCACCTTTGTAAAGACCCTAAAGGGCAAATTTTATTATACTCAGATTTCTGGTGGCTATTAATCTGAAAAAACATACCTCATCGGGTGTAAATGTTAAATTAAAGTCTAATAAATTGTTTGGATCAGGATGAATCACTTTGCATGTTCCCGGTAATTGTAATTCATTTAAATCTGGAAACCAGAGAAAGAAGAGAAGAGTGTTCTCAAACATGTCATCATCTTGTTTTTCATAGTACCGCTTACCTTTTGTTACACGAAGAACGGCTGGAGTTGTTTTTGAAGTCGGCTTATTTGGATCGACTGTCTGCTGCTTTGGAGAAAAAATGTTTAGCATCTCAAAAAACGTTGACATAAAATAAATGGCTTTTTACTGAAGAAAATGGGCCTAGTTCCGAGATAATATCTAAAGCATTTGATAAAACGTAGCATCGTTTTTCGTACTGGAGAAGTTAGAAAAATTCAGTAAATAGTTTTCCCTTCATTCCGAAATAGATTACCAGTACTTTTTCGTCAGGTGATGTATGTCTATATAATGCTTACAAACAAAAAAAGAAGTTAAAAATCTAATTCTTTCGACAACATAGTTTCAATACAAATAAAACAAAAGATTGGTACGTGGAAAAAATATGCTTATTTCGTGCACTTTTTCGTTTTTGAGACGTTCTAATTCATTGGATGAAAGCTTTGAGTTTTTCAACGAATACAACGCAGAATTGTGCATATCTCGATAATCGTAGGTTATCCGAAAGAAGACGAAAATATGGAACTTTCATCCAATGAATTGGAGTTGCTCAAAAGTGAAAAAGTGCACAAAATAAGCACATTTTTCCGTCTCAGTCCATGTACCATACAGTATAGGTAGAAAAATGGTCAAGATATTCTACAACTAACATTTCTACAACCCAAGCGCTACTTTCCATTAGTTTTACGTTGACGATAGTGACTAGCTTTAGAAATTTAGTTGTAGAATATCTTGGCCAAAGGAGAGACACCCAGAAAATGTGGTCAGTAAAAAACAGGTTTTAAGGTCAAACAAAGGCATCCATAAAACCTGTGCTCTTTTCTAGTCAGATCGTACCCATGTTAGAGTTTATTTACTTATCTTTCTTTTTTTATGTATTCAATTATTTTTGCTCTGTACTCTAGTTTCGTCCTCTTTTTTTCTATTTATTATTTTATATTTGCTTGAGTTTGGTTATTATAGATCGGTGATCTCTGATGACTTTCACTTTCCGTGAAGAAACAGTTCATTTTTAACTGTTCACATGAAATTTGAGAGTTGTTGCGTTGACAGTAAAGATTTGTAGATAGAATTTATGAATCATTATACAGTATCCCACAAAAGTAGCAACCCTCTGTAACTCAACTAGTGACATTTAATTTTGTGTGATCATAGCTCTCATTGGATGCTGATCACTCTCCAGATGTAAACTCCTTCTACTGGATGATTCGTGAGATATAAGCGATTTATTTCTTTTTCGTCAAATGATAAAATGACTCCTGATCTAAGAAGGATGAAAACTTTTTCGTTTTACCAAAATGTAGCTACGACACTACTCTATCTAACCACAGCTAGAGTAGAGTCGTGGCTGCTTTTCGTCTTGGTATGAGTTTACTAATGGTCAGTGAAATACAGCTATTTTACCGATGAGGGCAATTTCGACATGCACTCTAAAAAAATGATTTTTAATCTAAAAAAGGTTTTAAATTTTGCAACCACTTCTAAACCATTTTAAGATTCCGTACGAATCCTCTATATTTTTCCGTTCAGTAAAGATTCCGTATGGCGGGTTTCGTGCCGTTCCCTTAAAGGTTTCGTATTGACCTTTACTCCTAAGTTTCCTCGATCGTTAGTCACAAGCTAGAAAACGGTCGATCTCTTTTTTGATTCGCAATTAATTCTCGTCTTTATACTTTTTGCACAAAATCCTTTTCATTGTGGCATACGCAACCTTTGAAGCTCCAAAACCATTTGGAGTTTCGTAGAAGTTACAGAACTCTGTTGGTTTCGGAAATTAACCAAGAAACTATTTTGAGGCTTCGTATTTAGTGCGAAACCTGTTGGGTTCTGTGAAAAAACACTTTCTAGAGGTGCACGGCCTTTAAGAACTACTACTTAAAAGAATTTCTATTCAGGCAAAAAGTTGTTACTCAAAAACACCTAAAAACACATAGATAACAGAAAACTCGTTCTCAAATCACTCTAATGTGTAGATACAGCTAATTTAAACAATTTGTCTAAATAACAACTACAGCTCCTCCATTTTTCTAGTTCCAAGTTTAGTCTAAGGTTCCGCACAAAACTCTTCCTGTAGAAAAGATATTCATTTTTGCACGAAACCTTCTTAATCTACCACGCAGAATCTTTGCAGTTCCGAAATCATTTGGGGTCTCGTAGAAGTTACGAAATCCTGCTGGTTTCGAGAACTAACTGTAAAACTTCTTTGGAAGTTTTGTATTAAGCACGAAATCTCTTAGAATGTGTAATCAATCTTTCTGACAAAAGTTTCACCTACGTCTTTCCGAACCATAACTTTTCATGATCATGGTGTGCATTGAATGCAGATCCTATAGTAAGGCGACCATTAGTTTCTCACCCTTCTACTTATGTTTCAATGTGTAGCTGGGATTCACTTATCACAGTGAAAAATATCTACACAAGAATACTTCAAGAGTAAATAATAATAAGAAACAAGTAAAAAGAAAAGAATAACATTTATATAGGAAAGTTATATAACATAAATAAGTAAATAACATAAAGATCCTGTATCGAATGAATTAATTTTGGTCTTCCTAGAAATGATTTTTAGGGATTTTTCTAGAAGCCCCTCTCCAAAAAAAGCGATTTTCATACTATTTTTTGCAATTTAAATTAAAAAATTATTTCAGGTATAGATCATCGACCGTACAATAATGCATATATGTAGAGCTATGTAGGAGTAATATTTGTCGATATTAGTCCACCATCACCGAGAAAAAATAACGTTTTTTACGAAGAACAACATGTTATACAAACTATAGAGTATGCTGATCATAGTCCAATAGGTGTCAATCGAAGACATTACAGAATTATTCAGATAAAATGGGTTAAAAACGTTTCCTTGGTTTAAAACATATTTCGTTCACCAGTTTTATTCAGGCCCTCAAACATGCCATTAGATCTTTTAGAAAACAAGTTTTTTGCATGAAATGTGCCTGTTATACTATTTGCTTTTTAGTAGAAAGCAAACAAGAATAATCAAGCTAACACAAGAAGAAAAGTTCGCATATGAATACAAAGTATCATCTAGCGTATGATAGCAGAGGGATGAAAAGGTCTCAGATCTTGAGAAACACATGCTTTGAATTCGTCATGTTGGAAAACCTATAGAACATCTGTTATCTCACACGAAGAGTGGATTTTTAGCGAAGATGGTATTCATAGATGCTAAAATATGTGTGGCTGTGACAGATCACGTGTCCATTAGATTCCTCGTGATTGATAACCTATAGAAAACTTGCATAACATTCATCTATATGTTGATCAAACTCCAATATCTGATCGATAGACAAAAAAGTATTTTGCGTTTTTCTTGAAGTCGTTTTTCTAGAAAATTCGGAACGATTTTCCGGTTTTTGAAATAAAATGTGTATAGCGCAGTTCTGAATAAAAATCTCGAAAATGTGGCTGTTACGTTATTTTCCTTTCCCGTTCCTAGAACATGAAATAAGCCCGAGCTCTCTGGCTGCTTAATTTTCGAGGCAGAATCTTTGTAGCGCCATCTACCATGTTTTGAACTCTGATAACTCTATAGCTTGAGATCACGGTTGTGCCTAGAGATTTGAAAATTATTTTGTAAACATCTCAGGCTATAGCTATTATCTTCAAAAAGTTTCATGAAGATCGGACTTATTGTTACCGAAATAGCTTTTTAAGGTGGACAGAAGCCTTACATCATCACCGAATTTATGCTCAAATAAGAAATTTCTCATTTATAAGCGTAACTTAAAGTTAAGTTTCGCAGCTATTTTCAAAAGAAAACGAAGGTCGCAGGAATATAAGGAGGACGGCAAAGGTGTAAAATCTGAAAAAAACATACGAATGGAAAAAAAGTCTAAAGGTCTTTCAGCAAATGTCAGTTTTTTTCCACTAAATCTATATTGTTATATACTTTGCCGTGCGCAAGAAAATTTGATCAGCTAAAAAAAGACGCCATCGTCTTTTTATTGCGAGGTATCCCAGTTTATGTTGAATTTTTTCACAAAAGTTCTTAAAATTAAATTTAAATATCCGAAAATCTTCTCACTTCACTCAAAAGTTCGACGAGTGGCGCTCGTGCCTATAAATGGCTTCCTATCTGTTGAAAGAGGATTACAGAGAAAAAGAGGACTATTTATTAAGAGTTTATTGTAGTGTTGTTGTTGTAATCTGTATTTCCGTGTATGTTCAGTCATTTACCGATCTCCTGCAGAAATGGTTGCCTTAAATAATTAATTAAAAAATGAAATGAAAATGAAAATTTTTCCACCATGGTGGTAGAATCTTCAATAGAAGGATATCATACGAAATCTCTCCGATTACCAAACCTTAATGAGGTTTCGCAGATCCGTACCATACCTGATTGGTATAGGAAAGTTCTACAGAATCTCACAAGTTTCATACATACCGGTTTTCTTTTCAGAGTACGTTTCAAACTTTAACAGCAGTCTTCTATGCCAAATGGAATTAAAGACTGCTTCTTAAAAACAATCTATTCATCCATTCTTTATTAATTTGATGAGCAGTTTTATGCAGCTGACTTACGTTTATTTATCTATCATCGCACTTAAACCCAGACTGATGTGGACCTAATAACTTATGCTTAATAAGATAACAGTGTACACACTTGCTGAGAGAGCTTCCTTAATTCGGCTGGTAGCCACCGACTTTATAATTGGCGCGAATTCTTTAGTGTCAGATTGCCAACTCTGGAGCACCACCTTTACTCATGTCAAGTTTTGACAAAGACTTATATATACATTTGTTCCAGTCATAACAATTTGTGTGAGTTTCCAGTGGAACAGCTAGTAATAACTAGATTTAAAGATGTGTCTTTTAACGTAACATAAGGAAGTCACTGAAAAGCACACACAGACCAAAAAATATTGCTAGACTTCAACTGAAAAACTTAGTGATCTGTCTAAATTTTTTTAGAACATATAAATTCTCTATTATAAACTCATAAAAAAGGATCTTAAAAGTAAACAACCAGCAGGATCAACTCAAAAACTGTTGTCTGAAGCATTCTCAAGCTTTTATTTGTTGATAATTCTTTCAATATTTGTAATACTGATAATCCTGGTATTGATTGTGAG